TATTTTTAAATAAACGCAGTATTTACTGTGTCCCATTTAAACTTGCAGTTTGACCAAGTTTAATTCTGATTTCTCAAATCAGATGCTGAAAGGAAGTTTATGAAGAATAAATGTTTTATACCAGGAGATGGCACACATGTCTTGAAACAGATCAACCTTAGTTTGTTCAAAACTGTAAAATCTAAATAACATAATTAAAACCAAAAACAAAACGCCCAAACAACAACAAAAAACCCTACCACAAAACAAACTAGTATCCTGAATATAAGGAAAATAATTTGATAGCTATAGAGCAAGTTAGTAGGGATTGATTATGGTCAGAATAGCTGAATAGAGTAATTCTGATCAGTGTTTTAATTTAATAAATAACAAAGTGAGGAAGTGGTATAAATAAACTCTAAAAATATCTCCTCACTTATTTTAATAAATAAAACCCAACCACCTCATTGTGAGAGCCAGAGGAGTTAACTGTCTGCCTGTCCAAAGATTTCTCAAACAAATAGATCTCACAGCTAATAAACTTAAGTGTTTTGGTCCCATCTCCCATGGGTTTCCATGGTATTAGGTTCTACTCCATGCTTGTTATCATTATGTTGATAAATGAGGTTTGGATCATTGAGTTACAGGTGGATTATGTATAACTCATACTGGTTAGGTGTTGGGAGCTTTTTGTTTTTCTATTTAAACTGAGGGGAAGAAACATAGGAAGGAATTTCTGAAATGACAGAAAAATTCTTGTACAAAAGCCCTTTGTATGTTCTCCCTCACTCACAAAACAAACACTTTAATGCAGTCAGTTCACTGGGAGCATCCCCAAAATAAAACACACTGACACTAGCACATAGTTAAATGAGGATATTGGGGAAAGAAAAAAGATAAGGCAATTAAAAAAACCCAAACCCAACCAAACAACACAAACCTAGGGCCTTCGTTACAAGTTCTTACAATGAACAATTTTAGTTGCGATTGGAAGGGCAGTGCATCTAACTCTGAACTTAAGCAAAAGTTTGCTAGCTTGTGCTTGGAGATCTCCCTTCACATAAAAGAAAAAAGTGTTACTTAACAATTTCTAGTTTTTAACAAGGAAGCAACAAAATGAAAATAACCTGTCCCACAGAAGTTTTAACAAATGTAGTAAGAGATTCCCCTTCTTGGCAGATCCCACTATGAGGCCGTACAGGGAACTGAATCAACTAATCTGTCACAGAAACTTGTAGTGGTGCAATGTGTGGGAGGAGGAGAGCAGGCAAGAATGAACAGTTGGGTACAGAGAAGGCAGAACTTACTTTGCCTCAAGAATTATAGAAAGTAATTTTTTCCCATGCTAATCTTTGTCTCTATATTGTTGTTTTCCCGTGTTAGGTCAACAAAATGCACCTAAGTATTCAGTGACAGCATATGAAGTTCTGGTACTTCATATCTCTTTTTTTTTTCTTTCTCTGTAGTAGTAAAGGAAAATCTTTCCCTCTACCACAATAATGGTTTTGCATTGGTATATTACATGTGTATGTAACAGTGGTGCATAGCCTTGTTTTCAAGCTATGAGCCTTGTTTTCAAGAGATGTTTTCCTTACAGATTAAAAAAGGACTGTGTCTAAATGACACATTTTCCTTACAATATATATGTCACTAAAACAGTGTGAAAACACAGAAGTAGAAAAAGCAAAGCATTAAAAAGAGTCCCTCAAAGCCCCCCAGTGATTGTATTTGCAGCTGCTGGTATTCAGTTAGGTGACTAGCATCTATGAGTGTTTCATGTATAAATGTATAGCTCATATTTCTGAAAGAATGCTCCACTGTGAGGTCCTGCACTGGAGATTTTGTTCGCTGATGAGATTTGCCTTTTATTCTGTATGGAAACTGTTGATTAATAAAACCAGAAAAGAGACAAAGCCACAAAAGAAATTCTAGGATATTCTGCTGAAATTTTTGAAAAATTATCTTCCTTTTTGAATTAAAATACAGCTGAGACTGGAGTTGGTTATATATGTGGTACTTCCCTTAATCCTTACTATACAATTAATTGATTACTGAACTGATCTGAGTGCCAAATAGTTTGCACTATAATTAGCTGCAATTTTCAATTCCAAAAAGCATGGTTATTTTGAGTGCATTGATGAGAAAAGAAATACATGCCACATGTAGTTTTGTTAGCAAAATAAGAAGGTAATTTACAAAGTTATACAAACTGTATGAAAAGTTTAAGTAATTAAATCTTTATACTTAACTGAGGAGGATTAATTTTGTCATTGCAAAGTGAGGAAGGACTAGACACAGCGCCCTCCCTTTCCCCAAATACTGCTTAATAATTAACCTACAAATATGCCTCACGCTTTAAAATTGATTTTCATTTGCATGAGACTGACATACTACTTTTGCTCTCCAGGAGACAGATAACTAACGAAGTTCAAGTAACAGTGCCATTGAATACCTTGTGGACTGAGGATGAAGTTTAATAAGCTGCAGAGGTAAAGTTTGAAAAGCAGTAGAGAAATGGAAATGGACACAAACTTCCAGTTAGCTTACATTAAAAGACATAATTGTTTAGAAACATATTCCAAGCTGAAGACATGAGTTTATTGAACATTTGCATTTAAATACAGTAAAAAAAAAACCAACCACCAATGCATCCCAGTTTACTACATGAGTCTCCAGTATTCTTATAACACAGTTTACAAAAAAGAAAATACATCTAAATATAAATGTTATGTTCCACTTAAAATATGCACAATAAGAGAATCACTTTATAGAGCTGTAACTCAAAGTGAGAACAATAAGTTATTAGAATACAGTTTTATTAAAAGCTTGATTTCCATGTAAATTTCCTTCCTATTTAAAAGATCTGCTCAGGCAAGAAAATAACTACTTTCTAGTAAAGAAAATACCTAATCTATGGCAGTTAGCTGTGTCTTAACACAGAATACGCATCTGGGCTATGGAAATGCCTTTAAGAATTACATAAGTAGCTGTACAATGCTTTTTAGAAGTCTGTTTTCCTCAAACTATGCCTATTTTTCCTAGTATACTTAAGTAAACTACCATCTAACTACTACCAGTTTTAATAGATTTGTCAACAAGTGCAGCAGTGTTAGAGAGTAACAAAAGCAACTTAATTTATTCAAATTTAATGCACCTTTTGGCTTGCAGTAGTATTTTTTTGGTACAGATTAGTTATATAACAGGAAACTATCATGCTCTGAGAGATAGTTGTATACTTGCAGTTATGTAGTTTCTGTTTAAAATTCCTGTGAAGGACAGAAATTGATAATACCACACTTCTGTTAACAGGAGCTAAAATATAATCTTTGTATTCATTCTTTTACCCATTAAAACACTTGAAAGAGATTATAATTTACAGTAGGAAATAAAAATATTTTAGTACCATAACTGAGAAATAGCTCATATTAATCATATTCAGTAACAGTACTCAAGCTTTAAAATATGAATTTTCCTTAGAAAACACAAATAAAAATTAGTCTAATAATGCTACTATTGATTTATGGAGAAAAAAAGCCCGCTTTTCCTATTTTAATCTATTACATTTGGTCTACTTATACTTCAATAAAAGGATGTCAAACATCACTCTGAGCAGAATTTGAAGCATTCAGAGCTTTCAAAAATGGCCACACTATTTCTATTTTTATTTAATTTAAGCCTTACTGATAAACAATACAACTAATCATAACAAAATTAAGGTCATTTGCAGTTTACAATGAAATAAGCAGAGCTAAGCCTGAATTAGAACTGTCACCTAACACATCCCTTTAAAAGGAAATGATTTCATGATTCTTAGTGAAAATTTTAAGAGATCTTGCATGGCTTTCTTGCCTGCCAGGCAAATCACTATTTGTGCAAATTTAAATACAGTACATTGACCTTAATGTAACAGTGGACAGAGAGTGAAGGAAGAAGCGTTCAACAGATCTGCTGCACAGTAAGACTTCTTCAGAGTGCAGAGTACGTCTACAACAAAGTGCTTCTTTTAATAAGTTATGTTGATAATAGTATAGATATTTACCTAGTTTTAAAGCTTAATTTGTTTAGTGAATAGTTTAATCTCCCTGTACTTCCCCAGTCGCGCAAGGCACGTTCAAAACACAGGCAAAGCACTAACTGTGAAGGATTAAGCTACAATGAGAAGTTCTAGGTGGTAGTAAACTGCTGACTAGGTTTGTAAACAGTACCATCACATTGAATCTCAAGGTTCATGCATTATTGAAGTGAGTTTCTGTGGAAGCAGCTTTTGAACTCCAGATTTAACAATCAAGCCAGCTTTCTTGACAATACACTCCTGTACCTTAGCATTTTGATGTGGAATCCCACTTCTTTTGTCACTTGCATGAAAACAGATGTTACATTTGAAGCACTTGAGCCTCTAGACTTCATTTACAGTTAACACAGATGGTTTGGATCTACATTTTTTTTTTTTTAATGAATGTGAAGTTCACATCTACTGTTCAAACTTACAATGAAGTTATGCTCAATACACTTAAGAGAAGGTTTTGGTTATGTTAAAACATAGCTGGGCTATTTTGTGGAGGCCTTAATTTTGACTTGACATTAATTTTGACTTGATTTAGCTTCTGTAAGATTAAAATTACAGGTAGGATCAAATTAAGTAATTAATTCCTTCAAGTTCATCTAAGACCAACTTTTAGAAGCTTCTTTAGGAAAGAAGCTACCAAGTGCACCACAAGTGATCTCCTGTATAAAATACTGAAATGGGACTCACTTAACCATACTTTGAAAAACATTTCACACAACTATCCATTATCATCAGGTAGAGCTTACAAAAACAGTCCAAGTGCTCGCACAAGGAATACATAGCTAAACATTGCCTTCATACCACAGAAGATGAAGCTCTATGAGCAAGAGGCATTCCATTACTTTTTTAAGAAAGATCACATTGAGTTCGTTTTAGCTTTCACAACTCTTCCAACAGAGCAAACAGAAATATCAACACCAGAGCTCCAAGTTTTCCTCTTGCTTGACATTCTAGTCTAGCGTTTTATCACCACCTGCTCATATGCTCCAGATCCTGCTCTGAAAGAATGTTTAAAAGAAGTTAGTTCAATTACAATTTAAATGGAGCTCAACAGCAAGTATCACAAATCGGCAAGTTTACGGTTTAAAAAAGCCCCAACCAACCAACCCCACAAAAAAGAAACCCAACAAAAAACCCCAACTGAACAGCTAGTACCAGAACAGCTGAATGCGAAGGGCAGACTGAATTCAGTTAAGACTGAATTCTTCCAGCTCCAGGGAGTAATGTAGTAAGTCTGTAGAGCTAAGATTTCAAACTGGTGCCTGTTTCCTGTGTCTGTACTGAACCATTGCTCGTATCTGAAAACTTTGGAACTGAGACTCTTCAGAACCTCCAAAAGTTATAATTCTTATGGCTGACACATCAGTTTTATTTTGGAACTAACCCATCTTTTGTTTTAAAACCTGAAAATCTAGTTCTTTCAGTGCCTTTAAGTGATATAGAATAGAAAGATACAAAGATCGAGAATGTATATACAGAATATTTGCTATGTAAGATGCATTTTTGTTTAGTATTAGCTCTGGATCTATGGATTAGTTGTTTAGGCTACATACCTGTTAGGTAGATGATGGCTTCCAAAAGAAGTGCTTCCACCAGGGCCCACAAATAATCTTAAACCTTCTTCTAAAAAGCAAGGGAATTAACATATGTTAGCTTCCTTTAATGTTGCCCTAGCTAAAACTAAGTAATTTTAAATCTACCAGTTTTGTATCTGATACTTTCAGATGCAAATGTTTTAAGTAATGAAGAACCAAACTTCACATGGTATAGGTTGGAGGAACTACCTTCCTCGTAGATTTGCCCCTGCTCTGCTCTTTTCAGGCTTAATGTAATTCTCTGGGAAAGTTACCCAAGTCATGCAAAGGTCTTTTCAACTTCTGCGAGACAGGATGAAGCAGAAAATTTAGTGATCCATATGCACAGTCCTTATGATTACAAGCAACAGGGACTGTGAAGAGAGTGGATTTTCCCAAGGCATGTAATGTGCATCAGTTTTCCCTAAGCTTCCTTATTTATCTCCGTACCTTCTGCACTTGAGTCTAAACTGAAGTCTTGACTCTGGAGTATTTTTTCAACTATATCATCAGCATCAACTCTCGTAGCATCAACCCTCTTCAGCTGTGACTCCACAGAGTCTTGCTTTACAGGATGTCTGCAAAATTAAATATATTTAGAGCTCTTAGAAGTGATACAGTAAATTATGTTTTACTTCTGCTAGATAAGGCTTTCAGAGTTAAGTGTACCTGCAGATTTTTTCAGATGGTGCATCTTTAACAGAAGTATCAATATTAGCTTCAGTTACTTTTGGCTCAGTCTCTTCACATGGCTCTAGAATACTTCCAATTCCTGTTGAGGTACTACTCACTGAGGTGTTTCTCCTGTGGCAGAGTTCAGACAGACTGGATGATCTAGAGTGACATGTGCTATATCCTGTTGGGAAAGTGCAGGAGAGCTAGGTTAGGTGCATTGCTGACAGCCAAAGTAATTACTTGTATTTTATCATCCTGAGAGCAGAATTTTTGTTTCGTCTTCTTATAAGGAGGTTTCAAAAGCCTTATGAATGTGCATACACCAACTAGGCAATTTACTTTGGGTTTTGTATTCTAACACATGCTGTTTTCTTTTTGTTATAAATAACTCTTTCTTCCTAACAAATATAATTACTTGGTGTCACTACTTCCTCTTCAGCTTTTAGAACTGAGTTTCCATTTATGAGTTACTTGGTTTTACACATGGAAGAGGTAAAAATATTTTTCAGATATGTTAATTGGAGGGAGCTAAGGGAAAAAGCTGTCTTGCATCTGAACAGATAATTCCTTGTGCTTTTAAGAGGAAAAAAATGTTACCCTCCTCACACGTGAAACTCCTAGGAAAAAGCTTTCTACTTCAAACCATTTTAAACATATAAAATATACTTATTTTCTATAGTCTAAAATACAGACAGTAAATAAACCCCAACAATTCATAATAAAATTGTTAACAGCTACCTGACAGTTTTGACTGCTGACTTGCGTAGCTTGATGTTCTGGAATGTCCACATGCACCAAGTTCCTCTGGGACTGAGGCACTCTTTGAGGAGCCATCTGCAACATGTGCAAGTCAGATACTGTTGCTAAAGCCAGATTTGTTATTACTTTGCCTGTAATCAAATGTCAGATTTCCCAGAGGGATTAGGGACTTGGCACTGCTTTTCTACAAACCCTTTGAAGATTCAAGTGCTGTAAAAGTACCATGTATGTTAACAAATATACAGTCCTTAAAAAAAAAAAACATAATACCTTTCTGTCTGAGTAAAACAGAGTACCATTTGGTTAGAAAGTTTTGTATGAAATGTAGTTTTAGAGTTGCCTACACTGTAGACATTAAGGAGATCCCCATATTTTCCATAGCAGAATGGTATGCTAGATGTTTTTCTGTCTGAAAAAGTAACTGTGGTTAAGACAACTCAAACTGTATTTAGGGTGGAAATTAATAAGCTATGCAAGAGCCTGAAGCTCGTAAAAAACCAAAACCAAAACAAACAAAAAAACCCCACAACCCCCCTCCCCAAATTTCAACCTGTAATAAAGTGTTTTAATAGCATTTTTTCTAATAGTCTAAATTTCAGAATAACTACTTCAACTTTAAACAATACTTAGGACTTTTACCACTCAAAATTTACTCAGTTACGCATACCCCTCTGATTCAGAAGCTGAAAATCAAGAACCAAATTAAATGCTCATTGAAAATACAAATCCAAAGCAAATCAAGAAATATGTCACACAGAAAATGAAAGATTTCAAATATTAAAAATAAGGCAGGCTATCAATCAAGTTTCTTTCTTTCAATTAAATTTTAAAAAGAGAGATTCCACTGACGTTATTGAGGAGAGTGTATCTCAGCAAGCAACCAAAGAAGGTCTTTTTGTGGGCCAACTGTCAGCATCCCTTTAAGATTTGAAGTATTTTGTACATCTCCTTGAAGCTATAAAGCCAGTTACAAAAGAACAGAGATATTAAGAGCATTATTTTATACCTGCTATGCCCAGATGTGCTCCTTTTAAGTTTTCTCCACCTTTCCTGTCTTCATGCAAATATTCTGATTCTCCAGCAATTGCTATAGACATTGCTGTGGAAGGAGGCCTGTAAGAAAAAGATGGTTAAGATTTGCTGTATTTTTGCTGTAATCCCTCCAAATTGATGAGCACAGATTTTTCTTTTCAAGTAAGTTGGCGTACTTCATACTGTGCTTCAAGTTAATAGGCTTGTAACTTTTTTTCTAAAAACACGTGCCTAGCCCCCTGTTAAAAGGAAAAAAGAAAAAAAAAAACCCAAACAGCACCATTTCACTCTTGAGCTTCAGGACATCTAACAGAATCCATCTGCTCAGCCACTAGCCCTTCAGGCTTCTGGGGATCCTGGGAAGGCTTTTCCTTCTTTGTTGATTGTTGTTGAAGTTCTTAATTATTTTATTTAAGTGTATGAATCACAGGATCATTTACTTGCTAAGAATATACATAATTCAGTGCTTCATGGAATACATGACATGGTGCTGAGTTAAAAAAAACAAATGCACAACGACAGTTGGCCTGCTTGGCTTGGGCACTGTGATGTACTCCTGGCTTTGTTTCATCTCTGTTACAGTACATGAGGAGATTCTGGGCTGATAAACCTCCCACTCCTAACAAAGGGGCCTATGTTATCATCTCCATGTGTTCCCCTCTAAATTCTACCTCCTGCAAATTAAAAAAAGCATAATGTATGATATGGTTGAAATTTGGTTCAATATTAAAAAGCTTTTAATAAAGCTTAAATGCTTGTTTCAGATTATACCAGAAACCAAAGGGATATTTTATTAAAATGAATAAACATCTAAGTTTGTGTTTTGCTAGTCCAAAAGAAACTAATTAAAAAATATCAAAGTGAAAGTATTCTCTTGCAAGCAAATACAACTAAAATACATTTCAAGATGTTACCTACAGGGGTTTTTTTAAAGCTTTTTGTTTTTTACTTTGGGAACAGACTGTTGGTCTGCATACAAATGGATATTTGTTGACATTTTTAGATTTGACATACTCAATACATTAGTTACTGTGTACAGTAATAGATCTGCCTTTGTTACGTTTGAAAGTAAAGAGAGAAAGAGAAAAAGCACTTCTGGAAATATCATGCTTGTGTGACTTAACTGCCTAACATACTTCTAAAAGCAAGAGCTGAATGCTTTCAGGGATGTCACCGCAGATCAAACATCAAGCCTTGTAGGCTTCTTCATAAAATATGTAGCTGATTCCAGATTGTGAAATTCTTTTAAGGTTTATTTTTCCTTCTGTGAAAAACATCTGGATTAGATAATTTTTTGTTTTGTTTTGTTTGTGTTGAAAGTTTACGTTCCAGGAAATGGTTATATCATCAGTTTGGAATAAAGTGCCAAGTCTGAATAATTTCAGTTAGAGATTTTTTCCTAGGGAGCCAGAAAACTATTTAGATACTAATTTCAACTACTTCGGTACCAGCCAGTGAAGAACAGAAATACACTGTTTTATTAGTATACAAGACTAATGATTGGTTAGTTGCCTTGGAGAAACTGTTTATCAGTATCAGTGATGTATCTGTTAATAGGTCTGACTCAAGTAAATCAAGTGTTGCTAAATAACTGGGGACACAGAAAAGCTTTGCCCAATCAAACAAATTCAGATACCCTTCTACTATTTATTCAGTAAGCACAAGATAAGATTTCACAGTGTTCTATTCTTCTTATTGAAGGTTAGAAGAAGAGAGAAGAAATGGCCTTTAGTGGTATAAGGGGACAATTAAGAGTTCAAGCATGTTGTCTCAGACCAAAGGTCTGTCTAGCCTTGCATCCTGTTTCTATCAGCAGCAAACAATAGATGCTAAGAGAATATGGCACACACAGTAATGTATCTCCTGAATATTCTTCCAACATCTCCTCATCTGGAGGCTGGTATTTCTTGAGCCTCATAAGATGTTTTACACTTAATAGCCCTCTATTTTTTTTATTCAGGAATTTGTCTTAATTCTTTCTTGAGCTTTTAGTATTCACAACATGTAGCAAGGACTTCCACAGCTTAATTGCATGTTGTGGGAAGAAACTATGTCCTCTCATTTTGATTCCATCTCCTGCTAGTTTCAGTGTAACAATGTGGTCAATGAAGTGAACTGAAGAAAAAAAATCAAGTTAAACTAGAACTTAAGGGGTCAAATTCATTTTGAAGGAATTATTTCATCAGCATCTCCCCCAAATATTTTGTGACAAGTAAAATACAACTAAACTCGTTTAAACCTGATCTAGACAAAATTGCCATCTACTGTCATGTGGAATAAGACTGACATTAAACTGAAAAGCACATACTCTTCGAACAATCCAGTCTACCAACGTTCTAAATTACAGAAAAGCGGTGGCATTAACAGTCTTTTGAAGAATTTTCCACACTGCATTCATAGAATGGTTTGGATTGGAAGGGACCTTAAAGATCATCTAGTTCCAATCCCCCCGCCGTTAGCAGGGACACGTTCCACTAGACCAGGTTGCTCAAAGCCTCATCCAGCCTGGCCTTGAACACTTCCAGGGAGGGGGCATCCACAACTTCCTTGGGCAACCTGTTCCAGTGTCTGACCACCCTTACAGTGAAGAACTTTTTCCTAATATCTAATCTAAACCTCCCCTCTTTCAGTTTAAACCCGTTTCCCCTTGTCTTGTCATTAGTTGCCCTTATGAAAAGTCCCTCCCCAGCTTTCTTGTAGGCCCCCTTCAGGTATTGGAAGGCCACTATAAGATCTCCCCGGAGCCTTCTCTTTTTCAGGCTGAACAGCCCCAACTCTCTCAGCCTGTCCTCACAGGAGAGGTGCTCCAGCCCTCGGATCATCCTGGTGGCCCTTCTCTGGACTTGTTCTAACTGGTCCATGTCTTTCTTATGTTGGGGGCTCCAGAACTGGACGCAGTACTCCAGGTGGGGACTTACAAGAGCGGAGTAGAGGGGAAGCAGATTCTATACATAACTATATTCTATACATAACTCTCAGCCTATCCTTAAAATGAATGGCAGTTGTTATTATAAACTATCTCTTATAACACAAGTGATGTGTGAGAGATCTTCACTTCCTACTGATCAGGATAATTAAGTCATGGTTAGCAAGACAGTGGTGTTCTCTGGAAATAGGGAGCTTGCCAACTGCACTGCTTCAGTTTAGTTATCCACTAAGATTTGGTGCCTTTTATTAGTCTAGAAAGAAGGCAACAATTTAATCTTACTCATGACTAGGTTTGTCCTTAGCATGCGTGATTTTTCTGTCCTGTGGTCAGTTATGAAAGTTAATGTGCTGTAGCAAAACTGTTACATTTCCTTAACTACAGGTTAAGGCCAATGAGGCCAAAGCATCCTGAATGTACAGCAGCGTATTTTGCTAGCCACCTCTCCCCTTAGATGTTACCTCTTGCATCTTTTACTAAATTGCAAAATGTCTTAGCTGACTAAATATCTCTAAGTGCTTTCTCTTGTACTAAGTCACATCACACTTCTGGTTTGGTTTTGGTTTTTTTTTTAATAAATCTTTTAAAGTCATCTGAGACTTGTGAATAAACGGTGTAACAGCACATTACAAGTATTAGTCAGATCACCCTATATACCAAGTATATTTATATAAGCTTGCTGCAGGAATAGTTTCCCTTATGTGGTTTTCTTTTTTTTTTTTATTACAGATGTACAGGCTAGTATTATTTGCTTGAAAATATACTGACTATTTAATAGCAAGGAGAACTATGGTACTTCTACTGGTATTTTTACCATGATAGCCATTATTTAGCTACCAACCCATTTTTTGTACCTTTTTTTTTTTTAATATTGTTGCCAGATTGGAGAGGTTTATAAACACAAATTAGAAGTGTAATTCTGAACCTGGAATGTATGACCAAAACACTATCCCACACAGATTTTTTTATGCACTTACATTTTAAAGCATGGGTCTCCAGACATTAGCTGCATGTTAATCAAAACCTGCACATTAAGAAAACAAAACCCACTGTAAGAAAAAAAAAAACTGAATTGGTCTGTGATACATGGTCATGTCACCGAGTTATACTTGCAACAGATCTTACATTTAAGTAAAACAAAATGGCATCATCACATATGCAAATAAATTTATGCAAAAAAGAACATACTTTTTCTTAGTACACATGCAAACAACACAAAATAGCATTTAAAGTAATGTAGTTGCACATACAAGATTCTGAAAAAGATACATAGATCATGAAGAATCTTAGAATCACTAACAGTTAAGATGGCTTCAAAGGAAAAGTAAAGAGACAGGAAATGTAAAAGATGAATGAGCAAACAGAATATTGTTTAAAACAGAGGATGCTGAAGTACGTTCTTTGCTGAGAGTGTTTAGCAGACTGCTAGCAGACAGAAGTGGTTGTGCTAACATCAGAGATAAAGTAAAACCACAAAAGGTAATTAATGCCATAGGACTACGATGCATCAAGAAGAGTTGTTAGCTGGGTCAAAGCCATCAATTAAAAGTTTTCTGGAAAAACTCTGACTGTCTTAAAGAAATTGGAAAGTGCAGGCTTAAATGGTATACTCAATAGTATGAGAAATTAATCCTAGTGTCTTGGTAGGAAAATACATTTTTTAAAAATTTAATTGTAACATTCTGTATGTAATTATTTTCAAGTTAATGCAGCTTATTCATTTTTTTAAACTCCCTGGACTAATGGGAGAGAACGGCAGGGTAGGTTTCTTCCAACAATGCTCACCAATTGTTATATCGATTACTATCAAATAGAAAAGGGAAAGTTCCAGGAGTCATGGAGGTGTTGAAGCTGGCTTTATACATAACTATGCCAGTTAAGAGATTCACTCTTAGAAGAGCTGCACAGGAAGTTGCCAAGTCTTAAAGATATAATTGCTACATTTATATGAATGTATTAATTTTTTTATCGTGCTTCCCTATGCCATTTTTCAATTCCTGTTAGAATAGGAATACCTTTTAAAAGCTTTTCTTTTAAAAAAGAAAAGCTTTTTTATGACAGGCTGAAAGAGTTGGGGCTGTTCAGCCTGAAAAAGAGAAGGCTCCGGGGAGATCTTATAGCGGCCTTCCAGTACCTGAAGGGGGCCTACAAGAAAGCTGGGGAGGGACTTTTCATAAGGGCAACTAATGACAAGACAAGGGGAAATGGGTTTAAACTGAAAGAGGGGAGGTTTAGATTAGATATTAGGAAGAAGTTTTTCACTGTGAGGGTGGTCAGACACTGGCTCAGGTTGCCCAGAGAAGCTGTGGATGCTCCTCCCTGGAAGTGTTGAAGGCCAGGCTGGATGAGGCTTTGAGCAACCTGGTCAAGTGGAAGGTGTCCCTGCTGATGGCAGGGGGATTGGAACTAGATGATCTTTAAGGTCCCTTCCAACCCAAACCATTCTATGATTCTATGATCGCAACCCAGCCCCATTTTAAAGAGTAGGACAAATTCTATATTTGACTGCATGGATTTTAATGACTCTCTCTAAACAACACTGATGTTTTTACTTTAAATAGTTTTCCTTTTAGAAAGAGGTTCAGCAAATATGTTTTAAATTTCACTAAGTGCTTAATAATACTACTTGTTCTCTGCTTTATTAGTTTAGATATGATAAAGGAAAAAAATTACTTTGAGAATGGAATTATCCTGTCTTGTATTTTTGGTATCATAACCTTCCAGTAAACAGCGTCGAGTGGTATTTCCCGATCCAGCAAACTCTGATAGATTTAGATCTGCAAATCCCAGCTGTTAAGAGAAAATAACAAAGTTAGTAGTAAGCATATTACTAAATGAAGGTACTTGCTACGTGCATAGTATTGAATGCCACTCAACAGCAGTTTCTCTCCAATATGAACGAGGAAGCCCATTAAAGGGAGTGGCCCAAGGCAAAAAGCAGAAAAACTTCAAGTGTCAAATTCTGCATATTCAGTTAAAAATTAAAATCTCAAGAGAAAAACTAACAAGGAGAGTACTCTTTATTTTTAAAATTAAACAAATTCAGAAGGGTTTACTTTTATCAACCCTTTCAATGTATTCAATTGAAAGAAAAAAAAAGCAATCTGGTGGTATATTATGTACTTACTAAATATACTGATCGAGAGTTCCAGCACCACTGTGTCAGTATAATAAAATCGTAGATACTAGAGTACTATTCTGGAATTACTTTAAAAGGGCATAAAATGACAAGAAAGAAAAGCTAATTCATAGGCAAAATTAAATACATCTCAATTTACCTTTGCATATGCCTTTCCTCCTTTTAACTCCTAGAAAAAAAAGGAAAAAAAAGACATGCCATTAAGCTGTTAAAATACTGACTGGGTTTTTTATTGTTTTGGGTTTTTTTAGAAAAGCATATACTAATCTTTGTTTTAAAGTAGCTCAACACACATTTGCTAGGCAGTACTGTTGTCATTTAGAACAGGAGGAGACTGTCATCTTGCAGAGGGGTGGGGGGGAAGGGTGAGTGCCTGATGCCAGCCAGCATTTGGCTCTTGCAAAGTCTAGCCCCCAAGGAAGCAAGTGCTGCACACAGAATTCTGATACTTAGCACATTTCAAGGCTTCTAAGTTTACTGCTGCCTGCTAGAAGTATCTTTCAAAGGCTAACCTTACAAAGACTGATGGCAATTCCTGTGCCATCCTACTGGAAAAACTGTTCTTTTCAATAAGAACATAAAAAAATTAATTAGTCAGACTAAAGTAGTTAATAAGATGACTACGAAATTTTGATTAGAATACCTGACATGTTTGCAGCTAAAATTTGCTTTATGAAGTTTATCAAATATTTAAAAATTAAACCAAAACAAGTGAAGAAAGAGCAGTGAAAGAGGAGAGAAAAAGAGCAAATTACCTTTCGTACAGACACTCTACAAATGCAAGTATCCAGAATCCCTGTTGTGGCGCTGGCGCTGATTTTACACATAAATAAGAACTTCTTCTTCCAACGGACACAGTTTGCCTGTACTACCTCCCTGCAAACAGAGAACATACGCTTAGTATCAGTTGCGTGTACATTCAGGACCATAAAATGCAACAGGACAGCTCAAGGACAAAATCTGGTTCTGCTGTTTGTAGTGTGGTCACTTCATGCAAAATCTGACCCAAGGCCTGAATAATCATCCTTCACTTCTCAATCCATGTAGCAAGACTAAAAACGGTTTCAAACCTTGAACACAATCAGAAAAAATCAACAGCCGTGTGTTTTTGCAAATGAATGAGAGTGGGATTTCTGCAGTTTGCCTCAGGAGAGTGAAGTCTTCCTGAACATTAGCTCCCAGGCACTGTCTTCCAAGCTGCTGAACTTTGGAATGTGCTCAAGATACCATCTTTGACAAGTAGTTTTTCAGTACAGAGAACAGGAGCATCATACAGGCAGAGCTAGATAAATGTGAGGCCTGGAAAAGTACAAAGGAGATGATGTGCAGTAACCAGACACAAAGCAATGCAGTTGGGGCAAACAAGAATATCGGCTACGTACTGGGAGCTTGTCATTTGAGAGCAAAATAAGACTTACTAATATCTGAATGGATTTGTTCATTGCAGGAGGATTACAACATTACAATATGATGTGGCTGAAAAAAAAGGCAAAATGTGGGATGCTTTCAACTATACTAATATTATATAAGACTCAAACAGAACACATTATTCTGTTTGGGTAACTCTGCACAAGAACAGACTCAAAATGAACAGGTATAGGGGGGACAACTAGAAGACTCCTGTAGCTAATAAGAAAAAAAATATATATATAATAAAAATACACTAAGTAGTTCAAACACTTTAGAGACCAAATAACTTAGTTATTTGAAAAGTGGTTAGGACCAAAATAAGGCATAATAAAACACCCATTTAAAACTGAAAATTACAGGTCTCAAACCACAGAGCTAATTTCTAGAACAGCCTTCAAATAAGATAAGTAGGAGCAAAAAAAAAAATCTTACTGTATTTAAAGACAGGGTTGGCCAGTTTGTCAATAACAGGACATAAGGACTGGTGATTCTGAGGGACCTGCCTCAATGATCAAAAGCTCTTTTCTAGCACCACATTTCTAAACTCAGAACTTTGAACTGTGAAGAAACTGCTAATTTCTTCTACAGCTCTAATCATTCAAGTACAGTCTTCACATATTAAAGCAGTATTTGTCCTTTTCTTTCTTTTCCATTTTTTTAATATATACATTCCAATGCTTTATATTAGCTCCTTACAGAGGCATCTAACAGAGATTTCTATGGTTCCACATGAGCTATCATCTGTGGAGAAATGATGAATCAATCGCAAGGCTGACACAAAAGCTCCGATTTGCTGTGCTGGTGAGATTCCCAGCTACAGCGCTCGCCAGCACCGTGACCACCTAGCCTGCCTGAAATGAGTCAGTTCAGTGACCACAGAGTAACGGATTCTGATGATACAACACTGAGTCATATTCAGGCATGTGACCTAAAAGGAACAGGCTCTGTACACCCTGAGCTACTACCTTTTATCTGTTATGTTTTATATAGTAAACTTTCCTGTGCTTTGAAAAAAAAAAATAATCCCAAACCGACAGTATATGAGTTATTGAAATCCAAAATAGAACCTGAATTTTTAAATGGCAAACTACATCCTCTGCTGGAAACAGGCGCAAGCAAGAAGTCATCAAGTAAAACACAACCATAAAGGGATATTTGATAACTGCTAACATTTGTTACACTTAGAAGGCCTAGGAATAACTTGTATCGCTTATGTGATAGTTGCTCAACCCTCAGGTAAATAAAATAGTCAACTCGATGTCCACTGTCGAGCAGAACACAGCTATCCAAGTCTCCATATTTGGAGACCCCAGAACACAGCTATCTGGTGTCTCCATATTTGCAGGTTTCATACACTGTGCCTGAAGATAAGGCAGTTCCCAAGAACACTCTTCTTCTGCAGATCACAGTGGACCAGTAACTTAGAAATGAAATCTCCGTAATTTAAGTTCTTTTTTTTCTAGGTAACCTTTTGAACTTATCCTAAAAAAGAAAAAAAATAAAAGACCATCTTCTCTCTTTAAAACACCACCACATAAAAAACAGCTTTACCTTTTTCGTGAGCTGCCTAGCTACAAATTTTTGCTTCAAATAGAGGAAGGATATTTATATCACTATTTTAAGTCATTAAATTCACTGTAATACTCTGATCCTTCTGTCAACAGTTCTGTCAGGGTAGGTTGAGAATGCTAGAAGCTCTTGTGAAGCAATACTAATGTCTGCTTATGAGCACCAGAAGCAACAGGTCTGCGTTGATAGTCAAAGACAATAGACTTGCTCATGCTCTCAACCCTGCTGGTAGTTACCCAAACTTTCAGGAGCTTGCTAGACTAAAAAGACTGAGCGGGAAGGTGAATTTGAATGCAGATTGACTTAAAGTTGGTCAAGATTTTCTTTCACTAAAAGCGTCATATTTTGGCATACTTGTAGTATTCCTCCCAAAAAATCCAAACACATAGACACAAAAAATCCCAGAATCAGATTTTATATGTAGTTTAAGCACAGCATAAGGATCTCAACTTTAACACACCACTATAATTAAAAAACCTCTGCATTAAGAGGACAGTTAAAAATGCTGTTACCTAAACAAAGTGATTGTTGTAGCCAGCTGTTTTACTGGACTTTAAAGAGTTACTGAAATTAAATCTTACCAGAAATATCTAATCTATACTAAAATGCGTGCAATTATACAAAGCTTTATTAAGCAAGAACTTTCAACAGTCCTTTGACTTAAACTCTCTGTCTAGTCTCAGATCAAGGCATACCAGTGGCATTGTGAATCCACAGGGAGCCTGCATAAGCAGATTACTATGCATCCAATAATATCTGCAAAACAATCCCATCCTGAGTGTCCTTTTGGAAGCTAGAAGCAATGTATATTTTCTGCTGTCCATTATAAGGCTAGAACACAACACTACAAGGCTGAAAGTGTTCGCTTGTAATCCATAAAGTCAGAAAATCTCTTCTCATAGCATCTGCTCATCATACAAGTAGGACAGTTGTCATCACCCTGGCCACCCTTCCCTTATCGCCCAGGATACCATCGGGACTACCAGTAACAGAATAACGTCTCTTCCTATTCATCCTTTCACTAAGTTCCTCTAGTGTTTTTACACCTGTAACATTTCCAGTTATTAATAATACTTTTTCCTTTGATTTTCTAGAAGTTTCTGTAAATTCATAAGGTCAAAATAATGTACCAAAATCTTTGTACAACTCAGTATTATGGTTCAGGTTATGTTTCTGCTTTTCAGAACAGGTTTCCACCTCTACAGCAAACTACAGGCAAAGCAGCTTTACACTGTACAGTTTTATAGTATTCCAGATATCTCTAACATTATAGTAAAAGATAATTGAGTGAACATCAAATGTAGTATTTTTGCTTATAAATACAAGATGGACATAAGTAACATCTGCTTGCTGAATGTAAGTGTCCTAAAAACCTTTAAGGATCTTGAATTTATTTCAACATACCAATACTACTATATGTATATTATTGTTCAAGTAAGGAATAGAGCACAAAAACACTACACTTTTGGAAGACTCAATCCACTCATATCACCAATCAGGATTTAGTCAGGCAAATAATTTAATAAACATTAAATAGGATGATCAGGTTTTTAAGTTCTCTTACAAACAAGAAATTAAAAGTTACAGTAAAAATGCCTCCATTACAGATACTGATGCTCTAATTCTTGTAAAAATATAATCAGGTAAAACCAGGAATACCCCTTCCTCCTCACAAGGCCCTTGAAAAAGTATGATTAGTTTATTTCACTGGCACATTGTCACATTGTTTTAAAAAACAAGATATTTGAAACATTTGTACACAACAGGCAAAAAACCCCCAACCACCCTCTCCCTAAAGAGTTCTTCTAATTCTGCTATACAAAGGAAAAATTAACGTATTTTAATGAAGGTATTTTTTGTGTGGAGAAAAAACACCAGCAAGTTATTCCTCTCATGCAGAAAAAAACAAGTCAAATAATCAGAACATTTGACTTTCAAGAGTAATATCTAAGTTTCTGAGATTCTTAGTTCAAGAGCAAGGCCTTTAGAAAATAAACAGTTATATTGATTGGTTACTATGGAAATGAACCCAGATAACTCTTGGCAACTGTGCCTATGCTACAGGGTAGGCTAGAGAAAGCTTTCCGTTATGAGTCAGTTTCCTATGAGCCTCTCAGTCACTTTACCACATGCAAAGCAGAAACAGTTGTTTTATGAATCAAGATATGTCCTAGTTACTAAAATGCATTCAAATACATACTAGGTTGTCATGCTTTGGTGTAACTTAACTAATCCTATTAGTAAGACCTAATCAAGAACAAACTGAAGACAGATATTTTAAGATATATTGATTCCAAAGTATAGTTTGAGTAACCATCAATTTAACAAACTTTTTTTCTTTAGAGGGACAATTTCACATTGACTCAATTTCAAATGCAAGACTTCTGCCATAGATAAGACTTTTTCTGTATGTATTTTATGTATGGTACGCAATTTCAGTTTAGAATGATGAATAAAAGTCTTGGTTTTTCTCTTCTGATCCACAAAAGATAAAAATCAATGCGAAAAACAACACAAAAGAAACAACAAATCCTAATCCAGTCAATTTCTCATCCTAATTTGTTAACAAGGGATAGGCTCTTTTTTTCATTGGTGTTTGTGACCAGCAGAATGTTCATTTCCACATGGATAAAGGATATGAATAATGGCTTATTTCAGCAAATAGTCACAAATGTAAAAATAAATCACTTTTAAGGCCCTTAAGTGTCATGGGAAGGATCCCTTCTTGCCAAATAAAAGTCTTTAACAGGAGGGGCTTAGAAATAAAGAATCAAAAACTCCTTGTGGGCATTTACCAAAATATTGTGTTCCATTAATTAGAAAAATGTTTATTCCAGCTTTATTTGAATTATTCTAGACAGCCAATTACAACATTCAGAGCCTTATATCAGACTGCT